GTTGGAGGTTGTTTTCTCTCAAGACCTGAAATACTTTACTCCAAGCTCTTCTTGACTTAGGGTTAGTGTTGTAAAGTCTTCTGTAATTTTGATATGCTTCTCTTTACAGGTGATTTATTTCTTTTCTCTAGCAGCTTTTAATGTTCTGTTCTTGTGCTGAATTTCTAGGATCTTTATTATATGCCAAGGTGTAGATTATTTTAGTCATGACTAATTAGTCATGCCTCATTTATATGTATGTCGATTTTTTTCATGCTTGGGAAGTTTTCTGTCATTACTTCTGTACACAGTGTGTGTGTGTGTGTGTGTGTGTGTGTGTATAATTTGTGCAGTCCCCTGCTTCTTCAATGACTCTGATCAAACTTATGTTGTTTTTCTTTGCATCATCTTGCAGCTATTGCATTGATTTTTCATGGACCTTTGCTATTTTTAGAATTCTATCTTTTCATCATTGCTAACCACAGTCCTGTCCTGTAGACCTGATATTCTGTCCTATCTCTGTTCATAAGATTGTGTATAATTTAAAAGGAATTTTTAAATCTCCTGGATATCTGTTAGAATCTGTTTTATGGATTTCATTGCTTTCCTAGGTTGGGCATTCATGGTTTCCTACATTTTCCTATACTTGCTCTTAGCCAAAAGGCCAAGAAGTGATTTTCCAAAGCTCCTCTTTTTTTTTTTTTAAATCTGTGTCTCCTCAAGATTCTCTGATCAAGGCCTTAACTTTGATCATTATCCATTCTTTTATCTGAGAGATTATTTCTTATCTGATTTTCTCTGTAGCCTCATTCATCTGTTTCTTGTTTGTTTATTTTGTTTGTTTGTTTGCTACTCCTATCATTTCAAGAAATTCAGGTGTGTAACTTTTGATTTCTTCTACTCCATTGTCCCTTGCACTTTTCTTGGTTGGGCTGGAAATCTGGGCTTGCATTTTGCTTCTATGTCTTGTCATTTTCTTTTTTTTTTTAAAGTTTAATTAGTTTTCTGTGTTGAAGCTTATAAATTCCTTATGGTTGGTAACTTAATCACCAGGATCAAAGCTTCCCTTGGAAATATCTATTCCTCAGAGATATGTTCCAGGTTTAGTTGGCTCTTGACCTTTGTATCTGCCCCAAGATCCTACCTTCCCAATTTATTAGGGATGAGAAGTTGCTGTCTGTTTGGCTCAGCGTCTGGTCCTTTGGTACTGGACTCGGGTGATGATTACAACCCCAGACAATCACAGCTCTGTCATACAAGGGAGAACAACTGTTTACAGGTATGATATCCTGGGTAAAGTAGTACAATTAGTAATAACAATAGCATCAGGCATAGCCTAGGAGCTGGCAAGCTGTGATAACTATTAATTAGGTATCTTTAACCACAGGAGCAAGAGCTAGAAGTATTTAACAAAACCCAACATAAACCAGGAATTTGTATGCCAAGAATTTCCCCTTAGTAGAGGGACAGTTGAGGAAAGAGAGAAGGACAAACAAAACACAACAATTAAAGTAAAAACCTATGTAATTAAAACAAAGACAATAAAAGGAAAACAAAATTTAAAAAGCAGGCAATGACAATGACGATGATGACAACAACAACAGTGGCAAAACAATGAGATTCCTCTGGTGCTCTCAGTCCTGTGGTGGTGTCCAAGCTAGGCCCCGAATCTGTGCTGTGTAACTCCGCCAACACCGCAGTAGGATTAATGTTCAGTGCAGGGCTGATCTTGGCCTCTGGGTGTGGGGCTGGAGCCAGTCTTCAGCCAGCAGCTTTCTGGATGTCCCTTGGCAGCCCTCCTGCATCTCCTTACTCTGCTTTTCTCTTCCTCACTCTCCCTTTCCCGGTTGCTGCAGCATCCTCAGAGAGAGGCAGCACAAGACTGCTGCGTCCTCCCAGCCCTTGCACAGCCTCCTCTGCTCCACTTTCCTGTGTCTTTCTCCCACTGGCAGCTTGGAGAAGCAGGGGAAGTGCTGACCTTCCAATTATTTCCCTGCCTATTGCTTAAGGCTGTTTTGGAAATGGAATATTATTATTGTGCCTGGAAAGTTAAAAATTTAAACTCAAAGTCACTACTTACAGAATTGGATGTTTAACCATTTTCCTGACTTGATATATCAACGAAAGCACATTTCTGTGCAATGCCTTGAAGATCTTTAGAATGATATGTATATTTTGTGTTAAATTATGGTCAGTTCCAGGCTTAATGCTCCAGATTTTGTTAAATAGTTCTAGATCTAGCCTCATGCGATTGTTATTCCTGTGATTGTGTGGACACAAGTTTATCCCCTTTCTTTCATGATATTACTCTAGAGAAAAGGAGATAGCTACTAAATAAGAAGGGCTCATTAAGCCATTCCATTTGAAATGCAAAGTTTAACTCAGTCTTCAAAGTGACTTACAAGTAAAAAGCTTTCCCTTGTTAAATATGAAATATCCCCAAGGGATCATGTTTTCATGGGTTGACCCCCCCCCCAATCTAGCCAATCCATTCAGAAGGATGATCAGATCTATAATCTCACTGGTGCACCCACGTGTGAGCTCATACTTGAACTGGCTGCTAGAAGACGTGGCCCAGTTGGTTGGAGTAGGTCACTGAAGACGTGCCTTTGCTGGGTCTCTCTCTCCAGAGCCCTTCTTCCGTCCTCCTGTTTGGCCTGAAGTGGGGCACTCTGCTCTGCCACACACTTCTACCATACTGTTCTGCCTAATTCAGGCCCACAGTGATGAACTGCAGAAAGTGAACTGAAACCTCTGAAACCATGAGCCAAAGTAAGCCTTTCTTCCTTTGGATTCTTCTATGGCCTATGCTTAGATGTCCTCTCAAAGCCTCATGTGTTCATAGGTGGGGCTTTAGGGATGTGACAGGATTATGGGTGTCTGATACTGGATTTGTTCACTGATGGGCTTATATCTGGGTGTGATGCTGGGAGGTGAAGACTTGTGGGAGGAATGGGCTATGGTGGGATGACCTTTCCTTAAGGACTGCTGCATCTACCTGCCACACCATGACCTGTTTCTCCTCTGCCATGGTGTATACTGTCCTGGAGCCAACTGACTATGGACTGAAAGCCCCTTAATTTGTGAACCAAAATAAACCTCTCCTCTTTTAATTGATGCCTGTTGGGTATTTTGTCCCATCATTGAGAGAGTAACTAAAATGCCAGATATTATGGCATGATGACCAGAAACTGACCAGTACACATTTTTCATGGGACTTTGTGATTCTTTAATTTTAAGGCATTTAAGACTTGGTAAATTCATGATCGAGAAAGAATGCTACAGTATTTTCGAACACTACACTACTGTAGAACATCAATATAATCGGTCCCTTGGTGTCTTTTTCCAAATGTATGGACACAGTGTGAGATGTATTAAATGTGTCACTTCTTCTGTATTGGCCTGATTGATCCCAGCTCATTCATTATCTAAGCAGACCTTCAGGAATCAAGCATGTCTCTAGGGCTCTTTCATAAAATGCATCATGAGTCACCTTATTATGGTGAGTCAGTATATTTTTAAAATTTTGGATGTGAGACAAAGTAAAGAAGGTTGTGGTTTTGATGTCCCTTAAACTGTCCTGACTAAAGAAGAGATAGCCAGGAGCGAGTGATATCAACAGGCTCCAGCAATGAGTTTTTAAATCTTTTCTTATGCTGGGCTCCCTTGGGTGTTTGAACCTCCTTTAACCTCAGTGTTCTTGTCTGTACAATGAGGAGGATGCACCTCACTTTGGAGCAACACAGAGAGGACTGTAGATGACAGGTGTATTCTTTCCTGGTGATACAATACACAGCCAGCCTGCTCTTGGTTTTTGTTTTGATGCTGTGGTCCTTCCTCACCTCTGAGTTAAGGTCTGAAGATTTCTCATAAAAACATATTTACTTGCTAATCTGCACTTGTGTTTCCATGGCTTGTTCCACAGTCCACTTCTATGTATAATATGTGTTAGCAAATGACACTGGGCTGGGTAACACGGAGTATAAGTGGTTCACACCACAGGGGCCCTGGTGGGTGAGGGTTCTGCCAGAGGGCTTTCGAGGGTCCACTGCACTCACCACAGTCACCCATCCTGGCTGTGGTTGGCTGTTGAGTGAGGTCTCTGGGAGGGTGCTCAGCTCCACAGAGCCCCTCTCTTCACATTAAACAGGAAGGATTTCTGTGTAAGGGCAGAGAGGATTTTTTTTCTTCCGAGTAAGTCAAATTTAACCATTAGAAAGCTAATTGTTATTTTTATTCCATAAAGGAGTCTGTTTCATGCTTAGCTCATGTCTTCAAAGTGCTTAAAGCATGGACACATTAAGCAGGTTTAATAGTCTACTAAACAACACAACAGCTCCTGACATTATTTTGTTGAAATAAGAATACTCGTAGACAGGTGGTGAGTGGATCTCACACAAGATTTCAGGATGAGGTCAGGACACTCAAAAGAGAAAAAGTGGAAGCTCATTAGGACAACTGTGGACAGGTTAGTAATGGTTCTTCTACAAGTAGAAAACAAATTTACAATTGTTTAATGTAGATGAAACCAATGCCTGTGTTGAGTCGTCAAAGACTTGTAAAGAATTTTTCCAAGTTCCCACCGATTTTTCACTCTGTCAACAAACATGTGGTCACTATGTTCTGAGGAGTCCAACCTCTCATTCATATTTGGAAATCTCATTCTTATTTCCTGAATTTGTGTGTATTTGAAGGCAAGCTTTACACCTGCCTTTTAAGGATTATCGATTGAATATTTACTTATTTTCCATAATCCCGGCTTATAGAATCCTTTACAGGAGCTATTAACCGATTAAAAGCACTGGACTAGTACGAGTCCATCGCTAAGCACATTCATTTGTTTTTAGAGTGATTCTGTCACAGAAAGGATTTGATTTTGAGACTCTGATTAATTACCAACCACATAACTTGGTATTCTCACTTCCTCTAGTGGCATCCCTGGATGACTCAACAGTCCTTAATACATAACTGGTGAGAAGCAGCTGACAATGCAGATTGCAAAGAATGGTGCGATACGATTTGTTAATGTTTTCATCCCTATTTCATTTGAAACAGAATGATCTGCCATTTCCTGCCAGGTAATTAATTGTAGAGGTTTTGTTTCCCCTCCTTTCATTGTTAAATAACATCTTTAAAATTTCTGCAGATTCTCAATATAATTTGTTTTTCATTTATCCTGAATCTATTGAGTCTGGACAACATTTCAAGTTTTAAGTACGGTTCTAGACATTCAAATGAGCAGGATGTCATTGTGATCCTCAAAAAACTCATAAAACAGTCATTAAATTATCCTGTGTAAGTCAGCTTTCTGTCACTGTGAGAAAAAAAAAAACAAACAGAAGATAATCAACTTATAAAGTCATTTTCCCTCCAAGTTCAGAGGTTTCCATCTGTGGATGACTAACTTGTTCTTTTGTGCTTGGGGTGAGGCAGCAATTGTGGTGGAGCACGTGAGCAAGGTGCTCATCTCACAGCAGCTGGAAAGAGAAAGGCAGAGACAGGAAGGGTCCTGGTCTTAAACATCAGCTACATAGCCCCAGCCCCAGGGACAACTTCCTTCCAGCAAGCTCATCCCTTAAAGGTTCACCACTACCCAGAATCACCACACTGAGGTCCAAGCCTTTAGATGGGCCTTGGGGGAACATTTCAGATTTAAATTATAAAAAATACATTCAGAAAACAGCAGCACTTAGTACTGTTGTAGGCTCAGTTGTTAGGATAATTCAAAGAAATGAAGAGAGGCAAAGAGCTGATCTTGTGGAACTCCCAATCGAGAAGTGTGAGACACACAATAGCAATAATCGTAAGAGCTGGTAAATCACAGGGTATGCTAGGAAATAGTAAGAGAGATGTGAATACCTAAGGGTATCATGGGTGCTGGAGGGCAAGTAAAGTTGCCGTCACAGGCACCATCTGGAGAGGGACTTTGGAGAGGGGTGTTTCAGCTGAAGACAGATAGTAGCACTGCACAGGGAGAGGGGAGAGCAAACACTAATGTCTGGCACTGTGAGGAAAGAGTCAGGAGGCCAGGGCAGCTACAGCTGAGTGGCCAAGTGGAGAGAAAGGGAAGATGACAGAGGGGAAGTGACGGGGCCAGAGGCAGGGTTTCTGGCTTTGCCAAACTTGAAGTGGAGATTGTTTTTGGCTTTGAACACAACATTGACTAAGATCGGGGAGGTAAGTGTCATGATCTACGGTGCTGATAAAGGTGAGAGGAGAAAACAGATGCTAGAGAAGAATGAAAATTCACTGGAGCATTCACTACCCAAGAGGAACAAAAAGGAACAAATCAGAACTGACACAGTTGGTGAGGAAATGGGCAAGGATCTGGCCAATGCATTCAGGAGAACTAGGCTCCTTCAAGGAAAACAAGAGGGACATGTGGGAGACTTGTGAGAGCTGAATCGAAAGAAAAGCAGGCTGGCCATGGGGTGGAGAGGCCAGAGGAGAGGAAGAGGAAGACAGCTGCCCAAGCGAGGCTGGCGCTGCCGGGCTATGCACTCACACCTACCCCATGTGTGAGCCTCCCAGACACACAACCAGAAGGAGCAGCTGTGCGTGCGTGGGGCACGGTATGTTAGCAAATGACATTCGGCTAGCTAGAAAAACAACACTGCTAAGTAGTTAACTCTATACCCAGAACTCAGGGGTTAGAACAAAACGGTCCCCCTTCCCACAGGGATGTCTCTGCATCCATCAAAAAATACTTGCTCTGTAGTAACAGGATGACACAACTGGGATTATAAGAAGTTTAGTGAACACTTACGCAGAATTTCCTCCACTTGGATGGGCCTACAACCATTCCTGCCAAAAAGTGCCGTGAGCAAGAAGGTTCCCTGGAGGACCTGCAATCCCTAGGTAGCTCCAGACTGAAGTATCCTGTCAACATTGGAAGACACAGCAGTGACTGTACCTTCTCTAAGCCTGTGGCCAGAGCTCCCATTTTGCTATACTTTCATTCAATATTTTGAAGAATTTAATCAGCATATCATTCTAACCAATCAGTATTTTGCCTAAGAAACACAAAGAGATTCAAAAAAGATCCCATAAATAGAAAGTGCAGTCCCCCCACCCCTGAGACCACAGGAGCAGCACCCGGGGATGTTAGTGATGGTTTTCACTGGGTTGTGTGGTGTGCTGACTGCACAACTGTTCTGCTTCTCCCTTTGTCCCTATAACAGTGACTCTGCCCCTTACTGCCCAAAGCCCTTCCATCCTGACTTTGGTGATGGAATTTGCCTTGTCGGCAGGGTTGACATAGTTTTGGAAAAGTGTTGGTTTCATTCACTCCCTCATATCTGTTCCTTCACAGAGGGACATGCCAAAATTAGCCACATGGAACAAAGTAGAGACACCATATTTGAACTAAACAAGCCCATCCCAGGTGAGCCCACCGGGGCCTCACAGATGCATGAGTAGCACAGTCTTCTGACCCACTGCAGATTAGATGAACCCCACAAAGCCAAGGTCAAAGCGAACGTTTGTTGAGGGATCCTTCTGAGTGTATGGTTGTTGTTTTATGCAGTGCTCCATGTTCTATGGAATGGATATTCTCCATGGTGAAGGATGTAGAATATGTGTTCTTTACTTGGGAGTACACATAACTGCTACACTAGCCAGGACACTGGTGAATGAAAGGGGCCACGCTAATAATTAGTGTGCATGGAAACAAGACTTCCAGGCAATTCTATAATGACAGGAGAAGGAAGAAGAATCGTGTGATGAAAATAAGACTGATAAGCCTAAGATCAAAAGTCAAATTTGACTCTTGAAATTAAAAAAAAAAAAAGAATAAGGTTGTGTTCAGAAAGTAAGACATTGCAGTGGCAGGTTTGAGTTATGGGACCATGCTAAGAACTGTAAGAAGTGGACAGTTGGACTACAAGTGCATGGTGGATGGAGAATGGAAGTAAAACTGAAGGCCTGGGTAGGAAAAGCTCCAAGCACATTGCCTGGTATGGGACATTTGGGGAGAAGGGCTGGGCACAGTTTATCTCATAACCCCAGATAGTGCCCAATACTAAGGGCTCTGTCCCTCAAAATTTGTCTGTAGCAGCTCCAGGGAGAGTGTAATGACTTCCCAGAAGCCCTCATCCTGTTAGCACCCACTCACTCGTCCTGCTAGACTCTCCTGGGGGAACATTACACTGGAAAGGTTGCACACTGGTCCACAGTTATACATGTTGGGGAAGAAGGCAGAGCTGCAGCAGATGTGAGGAAGTCAAGAAAAGCTTCCACAGTGAGAAGGAGAGAGAAGGTGATGCAAATGGGGCTGAAAGGCTCAGGAGGCAAATGTTTCCAGAGATGTAAGAGACAGGGTGGTCACCTGAGGAAGAACGGAAATGCAGACCTGAGTCACGGATGACTGCTATAGTGGTGCTTTCTCTGATGCTCCAAGGCAATGATCCAAATCCTTCCAAGCAGCCAATTAAGATAGATAAAAGCTGAAAAGTCCTTTCTCCAGCTTTGTCACTGGACATTGTTCTCACAGGGAAGATCTGTTCAGCTAAGTGCTGAGAGTCTGAAGAGAAATACAGTGGTGAAGATGAGACAGCACTGCCTAGAGTGTTAAGAAAGTGTTCAAAGCAGAATATTTAAGTCAATCTCTCTTAAGAAATTTGCGTGAGAACAGGAGGCAGGTGATGGGCTAATTGTAAATTACAGCACTCTAGCAGGCTGAAGCAAGAAGGTTGCAAGTGGAGCCCGATTTGGGCAGTTTAGGTAGACCCTGTCTAAATCAAAATTAAAAGGGTGCAGGATGTAGCTCTGTGTGAAGGGCCTGGGTTCAGTCCTCAGAACCACAAAGATGAAGGAGGAGAAGAAAAAGGAGAAGCAGAAGGTGGCAGGTGATGGGAGACAGTCCTTACTTATTCCTTTTCCTGACCTTTGAATGCAAAGCACAGAATTTTCATTCCACACACCAGGGAGGAAGGGATGAAGGCTGGAAGCTCCTGTTTCTGCTCAGGACTTTGTGAACCCATTCTCTCCAGGCAGCTCAGTGAAAAGCAGGTCTGACTAGGTCTCTTGCCTTGTAGCTGATTTGGTTGAATACTCACAGAGAATAGAAGTTTTATTTACTGGCTTCACAAAAGCAAGGAACAAGTGAGAGATGTCTGCAGGCAGTGCATCTTGTTGGTTGTATTGCTTGGGAATAAAAGGACTTGAGCATGTCTTAAAACTAATTGACAAGGAGCACTCATTAGAGTCCAAGGAAACAGCAGCAGCAAGAAGACCCTTGAAAAAATGACAGCACACAGAAAAAAGATTCGGCCATAGGCCAATCACACTCCATTTTCTCCACCAGGAGAGGCAGAGCTTCCTTCTGCAGATGAAGAAGGTGGTGATGCTGCTGGAGAAACCTGGCAGGCTTCTGGTCTCTGTATGTACAAAGATGGAGAACAGCTGGAAATCAAAGGAGAAGGAGAATCCTCTTCCTATCCTCTTGCTCTTCTGAGTGCCAACACTTTTCCATGTGAGTAGTCGGTCCTTACGTAGCAGAGTTTGGAAGCCACATCATTGGTTGCTTATTCCAAATGTGTTTTCCGATCTTGCAGGTAGATCAATCCCTGCTTTTTACATATCTATCTCTCATATGGATCTGGGCTAAATTCAGGTCTAATTCTATCTGAGGATCCTTTTTACTGGCAATGGCTTATGTAAGAATGGCATGTGATGGTTATTTCCAGGGAGATGTGAAGGACAGTCTGCTGGGGCATGAGGAAAGGATTCTTTTTAATGAAAAAGAGATCCTCAGAAGAAAGTACCTATTGTTTATTGGCTATGATACCTGAAATGCATAGTCCTCTTCTACTCATAGTAGAGGTAGTTCAAGGACCAAGGGGAAGAACACAGAGAGGACAAAGAAAGGATTCAGGGTCCTTATTGACTTCTTTTGGCCAGCGAATTAAGAGCCACTGAAATAAAAATAATTATGTTGTCTCAAGCACTTGGTGCTATCTACTGCCAAAGGTATATTAAGTGATACAATGGTATCTGAATATTTTATTAATATAGTTTATATAAGAGGGATAAAAAGGGTAGAAGAATTTATACATTTTTATTTTTACATATTTCAGACAATGTATATAGTGTATGATAGTTTAAAGGATGAAGGCTGTAAAGACAAAAAATAGAGCTTCAATCTGTGATAAACTCTTAACTTTAACTTGTTATAATTTCCAATGTTGTCAGTTCTATAACAACGGAGCTATTATATTCCTTATAAGAAAGACTCAAGCCATGTAGTCTGCCTCCATACATATTTATTCTCAGTACTGAACATGGGTAATTTATAATTTTTAGGGATTTTTCTTTATAAATTTAAAATCATGTCTCTACACACTAAGAGCTTACATTATAGTATTATCAGGTAGAAAACTTAAAATGCTTTTTCACTGAGCCATTGGAAGTTCTCCTGAGCAAAAGAGAAAGGAAGTAAGAAGCCCAGACTTTGGGAAATTGCAGGTCATGTTGCAGGAAATATAGGCCCTTTGAAGCACAGACACCCAGGTCTAAAGCAGAGAGCTATGGACCTGGGGAGAGGCTCTCAGTCACCCCTCACACTGAGGAGTGAGTCCAAACTGATAACCTCAAAGGAACTCTATGTCTTAGTGTTGTTGGTCTTCATAAATTGTTGGTATCATAAATTAGGCAGCCTGAATAAAAAAGGAATTTATCTCTCACAGTTGTAGAGGCTGGGGGTCAAAGATCAGAGCAGAGTTAGTATGTGGCGAGGACCTGCTTTCTGGCTGACAGAGCCTTCCGTGTCTTCACAGGACAGCAAGGTCAAGAGTCCTCCAGCCTCTTTCACAGGGACATGAATCACACTTACAAGGACCACCCAGAGTCTGCCTCTACCACTGTCGCTGTGAATATCAGCCTTCCCACAAATGGATCTGGGAAAGAAACAAGCATTTGGATCACAGCGCCTGCTAATAATGTTCATTAGGTTCCATGTACCAGTATCTTAAGTGAGGCATTTTCAATACTTTCCACAAATACCAGAATGGGTGACTGACGTTTTTACTCTGATTTCCTCAAAAATAATTGCATATGGTTATGGGTAGACAGTGCCGCTGGGTGTATTTTTGTGTGTGTGTGTGTGTGTGTGTGTGTGTGTGTGTTGGTATCTTTTAGCAGAAATGAACTTCATAAATTGCATAGATAACACTCCCAAAATACAAGTACTGTCATTCATTGAGATGTGGTTATATAAATGACCATTATAAAATTTTCTCCCTTAATAAGACTTTGATTTTAACAGAAATAATAGACCAAGGTAATGGGTTGGTGTGTGCGTGTGTGTGCGTGTGTGTGTGTGTGTGTGTGTGTGTGTGTGTGTGTGTGTGTGTGTTTTGAAACACAGGCAAATTATTGAAATAAGGTAAATGGTTAAAACCACGTGAAAGAATGTGAATATGTACAACAGTATGATATAAATATTTGATAACCATATTTTTCAGTTTTCAGGGAGACACGGCAGTGTCCTGCAAATATCTGTTGTGATCCCAGCTTCACAAATGCTGCCACTTTTGAGCTTGAAGTTGTCTAGGGAGGACAGTGAGATCTGTATGACTCATTCCCCAGGAGATAATGTGCCATTCCAGTTGGAATCACAAACTTCAGAGCCACACAGACTGCGTTCATGCCTTGAATCTACCCCTTACCATACAAGTAAACTTGAGCCACTCAATTTCCTGTAAATCAGTGCTAATAAGGTCATCTATGAACTCTTATACTTACAGCATTTAAAACAGTGTCTGACAAGCAACAACAGCTCCCTGTTTTATTTATTATCATCATTAGTATTTACTTCAATAACTGAATATTAATTTAAAAATAATAAATAGGAAAGAGTTAATAAATAATAGCCCCCAGGTTAGCTGAATAATCAGGAACTGTACAGTCTATTTCTTCATCATGTGTACTAAAGAAAATTCAATACTACTTACTGAGTCACTTTCCTGGGGCTCCCACAACAAAGTGCCGCCACCTTAAATTGTGGCTTAAGCAGCAGCCACAACTGGCCTCCTAGTTCTGGAGACCAAGTATCCAAGATTCACAGGTCAGAGGGTTGGCTCCACCAGAGTCACAGCGGTGAAGAAGGGCCTCTTCCCTGCTTCCCCCAGCTCCTGGGGGTGGGGTGAAAATCTGGCTTTCCTTAGTTTTCTTAAAGATTCATGATGACTTCTAACTTTCATGCCACATGATATTTGTCCATTACCTGTCTGTCTCTAAATTTCCTTGATTTTTCTAAGGAAATAATCTCTAAATATGGTTACATTCTGTGGTATTGGAGTGACAGTGTGTGAATTTTTAAGGGACATGTATTTTTGTTTTAATAACCTAGTAACACATTTTATAATACACCTATTCCATGCTATATTTGTTAATCATAGACTGCTTATATATTGTTTATCATTAATTTGGAATTTTTTTCTTCATTATTTTGCTTACTGTGACACTTATTGACAGCTCTACAACAAAGTGATATTGAAAATGAATCCATTTGAGATGTATATAACGGTGCATTAACTATTGCATTCCTGCAATTTAAATTATGTTAAGCCTCAAAATAAAGTTATGCTATTTGACTCATATGGATAGACATGAAAATGTTGCCTTCGTGTGTTATTATGGCTGGTGTTCAGATGTCCCCCAAAGCCTCACGCTTTTTTAGAGGTGGCTGAACCTAGAGTGTGTGATTGATTCATAGTGAGCGTAGGCCCCAGGGCACTAGGATTAAGGGAATGAGTGCTACCCATGTTAAGTAGTCTGAAAAAGATAAAAGGAATACAAGTATGTTGCTAAGTCTCTTGTTGCTTTTGCTGTCTTCTGTCCCCATGACCTGTTGCCCTTCTGTCACCCTGCCTTGGAGCCAGTAATTATGGACTGAAATCTCTATGAACTGTAAGCAAATAAACCTTCCCTCTTTAGCTTTGGGCATCAGGTATTTTTTTCTCAGGAATGAGAAAAAGTAATTAAGACAACAATTTGGTACTGGGAGTAGGGTTGTTGCTGTGACATCACCTGGCCACACGCCTCAAGTGAACTGTGGGAAGGGGAAGAGTTAAAAAGGTTTGGAGATGCTGGAGAAGAAGTGGAGCTTAGGCTGGGAGATGCTGGTCAGAGCTCAGAAGACCAAAAGTCCAGCAAAGACCAGGCTCAGGGGGTTTCTGCCAGGAAGAAGGGCTGCATTAGCTGCTGGACTCCAGATGATGCACATTATGGCTTGGCAGATAGCTTGTGCGCATTTAGTGCAAGTCCAGAGACTTTGTATGAGACTGAGATTAAGGGTGGTAGACTAATCTGGCAGAATAAATTTCAAGGCAGTCTAATATTGAGGCAGTGGCATGCTTACAGTTGGGGTCCTTTAGCCAGATTTATGTTGAGAATCAAGAGCAAAGAGCCTTGCAGAAAAATTCAAACCATTTTGAGTTTGGTTAAAAAGGAAGCTTCTGAAAAGTCAAGGCCTGAAAAGATAGAGTAGAGATCTTAATTGCTGAAAAGGAACAGGACAATAAAAAGATGGCTTGAAGTCATCACAAGAAGATGCAGGACTCCACCCTTAGCAGGCTCAAAATTTCAAAAGTGAAAGAATTTGCTTTAAGAAGAAAGCCCCAGAGCACCATGTTCCAGAATGGCAGCAGCCTAGAGAATCTGTTCTTTGGAATTATATTGAGTGTTCGGCAATCCAGGCACTCAACTACTACAGCCAGGAGGGAAGGAAGCCAGACTACTGCTCTACTTGGCAGCAGACCTTGGCATCATCCATGTGGGGCTGATTTTAGGGACAAACAAAATGGAAGAGTTGTAGGGTCAAGGAAACATCTACCCAGATTTCAGAAGAAAGCATGGGAGGCCAAGAAATGTGCCCCTGAGAAGGCAGTGTGTGAAGCTGTGAGTGTGAAGGCGAAGGTGCAGTGGAGACCCCAGAAGGTTGGAAAAGCCAGGAGTGTGAATGATCTGAGGAAAGCTGCAAGGAGAGAGCAGAACAGCCCCCCCCCAAAAAAGTTATACAAGCTAAACAATCTGCTGTGCTGTAGGGGCAGAGCCACCCAATCCCTTTTGAGTTCACAACTTGCCACAGGGGTTGCTGGGGGTGCTAGAAGAGGAATTATGGGATTTAATATTTGCTCTGCAGGAATTTGGACTTTCTTTGCTCCCATTCCTTTGTATCCCTGTTTGCACCCTTTGGAAAGGTGACATCTATCTTGTGACATTAAATGTTGGAAATATTTAACTTTCTTTTCATTTGTTCAGTATTGCAGCTAAGAGTTTGCTTTAAATCTCAGAGGAGACTCTGGACTTGAACATTTTAGCAATGTTGAAACTGTTAGGACTTTGGCAACTCTTAGAGATGGACTCAATTCTTTTTTCATAAAAGGACATGTATGAGTCTTTGGGCAGCCAGAGCAGAGTGCCGTGGCTTGTCCTGATGCTCCCCAAAGCTTCCTGCTTTTTCAGAAATGGCTAACTCTAGCATATGTGGTTGATTCATGGTGGGGCTAGGCCCAAGGGCACTAGAATTAAGGGACTGAGTACTACCCACCCTTAGTAGTCTGAATAAAATACAAGGGACAGAAAGACACTCTTAAGGTCCCTTGTTGATTTTGCTGTCTTCTGCTGCCATGAACTGCTGTCCCTCTGCCACCTGCCTTGGAGCCAGCCAATTATGAATTGAAATATCTATGAAGTATAATCCAAACTGGGTGTCAGGTATTGTGTCTTAACAACCAGAGAAAAATATGACAATAGTTTATCACTATCTGCCAAAAAAACCTCAAATCTCCTTTTCATATTCTTCCTGAAAAAAATTAAAATAGTATGCAATGGTACCTATTCAAATGAAAATAAAGAAGTTAGTAATTTCATCCAAGTAATTATTATAATACTATTTGGCCAGTAAATAATCTTACATTATGGTTTGAGGAAAAGTGACTGTTAATTGAACAGTAAGAGTATATCTCTTGAAATTGATCGGTGCAAAACACTGAAGCCATGTACAATTAACTTTTCAATGTTCTCCCTCTGATGAATTTCCCTGCTGTCTTAATCGTCCTGTCTTACCATCGTGCTGCTCATGAACCTCCATATTGGTGTGCACATCATCTCAAACTGCAATCTGCACACCTTTCTCTTGCCAAATGTGCTCCTCAACAAAGACGAAGTTGTAAACTACATTTTCCACTTCCTTGAGATCTCCAGGTTAGAGTTCGGAAGAAAGATTTGAATGATGGAAGCCTACTAAATTCTTATTTGTATGAAAACTTCCCACAGTGTTTACATCTGATGGATCAATGTGGTTCTTGAATAACCACAGCAGTTTTCAATCCCTTTAACCCTTCTAATGTTGAAGCAGTCTGCAGGCCCAGAGCGTTGTGGATGAAATAGAGGCCTCACTTCCTGGAATGCCAGAAATTAATAGTAAAAGTCTTCCTCTTACCCATCTACTTTTCCCAACGTAGTTGTACACTGAAGAAGGGAGAAAACATGCTTTTCACCCTCTAGAGTGATACTTGTTTTTAGGAACCTAAAATGTTACTGCCCAGTACTCAAAGAAAGGAGATATATAAATGCATCATGGAATTTTATTTCAATTCTTCCTCTGAGTTCAATGGCCTCCCAAACTTCTGTGGTGTTTGCTTTACCAATTCCTTTTAAAAAAAGATGGAATAACAATTCTCAGCTTTTGAAAGTATTTCTGTATTGATCTTTGAACTGCAGTAAGAATGGCAAAGGTGAACCACTGTTCCGCCAGTGTTAATAAATAGTATCACATCCTCATAGGGTACAGGGGATGTACATGATGGTTGGGCCTTGAAACTACAATTGAGAATCATACATTTAATTGTATGGTTAATTCAATTGTAAATGCTGCTTAATTATAGGACTTGGGGGAGATACTAGGGATTGAACCCAGAACCTTCCCACAAAGTCACACCCTTAACTCCCATTTAAAACATTTTTATCAGGCTTGCTAAGGCCCTAAATTATGCAGGCTGGGCTTGAACCTGTGCTCCTTCTTCCTCAGCTTGCCGGAGTGCTGAGATTAAAGTCGTGAGCCAGGATGCTCAGCTGGTAGTTTCTTTATTAAAA